ACTGCGAGCTCCTGACCTGAGCTGAAGTCGGACACTTAACTGACTGAGCCACCCAGGCGCCCCATTTAAAAAAAATTTTTTTTTAATGTTTTTATTATTTTTGAGAGAGAGAGACATACACACAGACAGAATGTGAGCAGGGGAGGGGCAGAGAGAGAGGGAGACACAGAATCCGAAGCAGGCTCCAGGCCCTGAGCTGTCAGCACAAAGCCCGCTACAAGTCTCAAACCCACAGCTGTGAGATCATGACCAGAGCCGAAGTGGGACACTTAACTAACTGAACCACCCAGGTGCTCCTGAAGTATTTTTAATACTAGCTATTCTGATGGTATCACAAAGCACAATGGATTTTAATTTCCATTTCCCTAATGAGTAATGATATTGAGCCTCTTTTCATGTACTTACTTGCCATTTGTAAATCTTCTTAGAGGAAGTATCTGTTAAAGTTTTTGTCTACCTTTTATTGGGTTGTTTGTTTTCTTATTATTGAGTTTTGAAATTTATGTATTCTGCTTTTTTGTTTCTCTAGTGGATTGTGCTTTTGGTGTCATCAATAAGAAATCTTTGCCTAATCCAAGGTCACAATGATTTTTCTCTTGTTTTCTTCTACAAGTTTTATAATTCAGGTTTTACATTTATATCTGTTACTTTTGTTTTGTTCTGTTTTGTTTTAAAATAGATCTATTAATTTAAAAAAGTTCAGGGGTGCCTGTTTGGCTCAGTTGGTTAAGCATTGGACACTTTTTTTTCCTTTAATTTTTTTTTTTTAAGTTCATTTATTTTGAGACACAGACATCACAAGTTGGGGAAGGGCAGAGAAAAAGGGAGAGAGAGAATCCCAAGCAGGCTGCACATGGTCAGCACAGAGCTCAACCCAGGGTCTTGAACCCACAAAACCATGAGATCACGACCTGAGCTGAAACCAAGAATAGAAGGCTTAACTGACTGAGCCACCCAGGCGTCCCATTTGTTGGACTCTTGGTTGCCCAGGTCATGATTTCAAGGTTCATGAGTTCAAGCCCTGCATTGGGCTCTGAACTGACAGTGCGGAGCCTGCTTGGGATTCTCTCTCTGACTCTCTCTAACACCTCCCCTGCTCATACGCTCTCTCTCTCTCTCTCTCTCTGTCTCTCTCCTCTCTAGAAATAAATGAATAAACTTAAAAAAATAATAAAATAAATAAAATAAAAAAGTTCAGACATCCCTGATTTGAGTTTGTGTGTGTGTTTCTTTTCTTTGACCTTTTCACTTATTTCTAAGGAAATTCATTTAAAAAGTGTTAAGCTCAGGGCACCTGGGTGGCTCAGTCAGTTAAGTGTCTGACTCTTGGTTTCAGCTCAGGTTGTGATCTCACAGTTCATGGGATGTAGCCCTGCCTTGGGCTCCATGCTGACAGCACACAGCCTGCTTGGGATTCTCTAAGACCAGTGGCTGCTTGGGGCATAGGTTGAACTGGGAAGGCCTGGAGGCAGAGAAAACAGGAGATCACAGAGCAATTTAAGAGGTAGATGATGAGGACCTGAATGGAGATAATGCCAGTAGGGATGGAGAGGAGGGAAACCAGTCTGCAGATATTTTCTGAAGTATTAGTAAAAGGATCTGGGAGATGAGAGAAGGGATATTTGAAGTTTCTATTCTGGGACATTGAGAGAATTGTAATGCCATGAACTGAGATATGGAACATAAAAAGGACACAAATTGAGTGGGCATGGATTATGTTCAGCTGTGGGCACATTTGGGTGAGAGCCCTGTGCTTCAGACTCAGGGGATCCCCAGCAGGCAGGAGAAAACATGAGACTGAAGCAGGGAAGGTGGAAAGTACTAGGCTGAAATGGAAGGCATCAACTAGGAGAGTCGATGGAGGAAGAAAGAAAGAAGGCAAAGGACAGCGAACCCTGCATAGTCAAGGTCAGGCCAACAGAAGAGAAATGGGTCAGAGAGGCAGAAGCAGAATCAGGAGAGAATCCGAATCCA